AGGAAAGATGTGGAAGCGATAGAAATATGAATTTGATAGATTTTCATTCATGTTTTTCAAATTTTATTTTGAGGATTCGAAAATATTTCATTTTCAAAATAAATATAATTTATTTGTTTGTTTACATTTTTCTGTCAAATGACGTTGACACTAGTATAACTTACAAAAACAAATTTCCATGTGGTTGTTGTATCGGTTCTTGTACAACAACACTTGCTGTTACCTTCTATTATTAAACGACATGTACATTGAAACTTTTTACAGGGGTTAACCTTCTTTATGAGGATTTATTTATCATATGTTCAAAGGAATTGACAATTGAAACCCACTGGGTTAACGAAATCCGGTTAAATGTAAACGTACTATTATACCATGGATTTCTACAAAAAATCTCAAAATTAAGGGTCCCACCTAAATTCATGCTTATGCGTACGATTTTATTCATCTCAAAAGTTAAAGACATGTATTTCAATGAATGTTAAGGCCCCCTACACTATACATCATGGCGTAATGCCGATGATCCCCTTTGTATATGTGTGTGAATGACTAGTGTGTGTGCAAACTCTTCAATTATTATTCCAAAAAATGATTTTTGTCAAAAAAAGAAATGAGTCGTAAATCCAGTTATTTTTTATTTTGTCACAATTTATATATATATATACAGTGGTGTGCAAAAACGAGTACATGTTTACATTTTGGACACTTTTTACGTATTAAAAATAAAACTAAAAAAGCAAATTAAAAAATCTTGGTTGTATTTTATTTAGTATTTTGTACTTAACAAAACAACCAAAATTTAAAACTCCAACTCTTAAATGTATAAGAAAAAAATAAGGAAAACGAAATCAGCTCCAATCTACTCATTTTGCACGTCTGCATTAATTGAATAATTTGCAGAAAAGGAATGTAAAAATCACGTTTTTTAATATTTTTTGGTTTTCATTAGTTCTTTTTTTAAGAAAATATAAGTTTGGTATCATTTAAGTCCCGTTTAGTAAAAATAATATGCAAAGTTTCGAACAAAAATTTAAAAATAACTATTAATAATAAATCATGAAGAAATATTTAATAACCACTGAAGATACCATTCGGGTCTTGAGTGAAAGAAGCTGTTTCAACTTGGAAATTGCAAAGGGACTTAAATTGTGCCAATTAGTGGTCATATGGGTACAAAAACGGTGTCCTGTTATTCCCAAACCTCAAATTAGTGGTCGTACAACGCTTATAAGGGAAATGTAATTTGATAAGTTTTAATACCAAAATATGCTTCGTAAGTACTCATCAAACCTGTTAGTCATTGAACAGTGTGAAGAGCCCTTCCCGACATTGGATATAGCAGCACTAAAAAAAACTAAAAACCTGTATTATAGGAAAAAACTGCAAAATCAGGGTAAAGACTTTTAAACTAGCCCAAAAATTAAACTGTGGTCGACTGGAAACGTGTGATCGAGTCCGATGAATCAAAATTCAACCGTTTTCAATCCGACGATAAGCATTATTGGTCATGAAAACGAATTCAAAGGCCCAATGTGAAGCACGGCTGAGGAATTGGTATGGGTAGGCGGCTTTAACTTGTGGGTCCTGGACCGATATTAAAAAATTGACAATATAATATTGAAAGAAGTCTATTGAGAGCATTGTAGAGTCATATCAACCGGTCTTGGTAGAGAGGAACGCCTATCCTGTATGATAAGTAATTATGAACAAGATGGTGATCAATGACACTCGTCCAAAATCGTGATTGAATATCTTCGCGAGCAAAATTTTCAATTAACACAGTGGTCAGCACAAAGTTTCGACATCAATCCGAAGGATAATTTGGGACCATTCGTAAAGAGAGAGGTGGGACAGTACCAATCAGCCCCTAATAATTTAGACGAACTTTGGCAGCGAATCTGATGTGATTGGAAGAATATTTCGAATAAAATTAAACTAATATTGTTAGAACGTATGTCAAATTGCATAAATTACGCATTAAAAATATAAAACTACGATATAAGTAATAAAAATTTTAGTTTTCTGCAAATTTGTTCAAACGTGCAAAAATGAGTACATTAGAGTTGATCTAATTTTCTTTATTTACAGTTACATTTTTATCTTTAGGTAGTTTTGTTAAGTACAAAATACGTTATAAAATAAAACCAAAATGTTTGAATTTGCTTACTAACTTTCATTTTTATGACGTAAAAGTTGTCAAAAGTACAAACATGTACCCGTTTCTGCTCGTCACTGTATATATATATATGTATACTCAAAATTTTTTACTGTCAACTTTGAAAATGAATAAAATTCACCAGATTGAAAGGGTTTCATCAAGGTATGTTAAGAAGGTAACCTTATCAACATTATATGTCATAGTATTTTTTTTCAAACCTATTCTAAATGAAAATTTTAAATACATTTCGATATAAAGAACAAAAAGGCAGAAAATGAAAAGCAAAGCGGAAGGCCATTGAGATGAGATTTCTATAAGAATACCATGAAATCGAAAACAAGTCTTTGGAGTAAAAAGGATCATTTTTTCTTTATACAATATTTTCCAAATCATGTTATATCTCCATACACCAATAATTAAACAAACATTTTCAATTTTAAGGGCCCCATATGCCACCAACATTATTACATTATTTAATGCGCCGTACTTTTGTTATTTTTTGATAGTTTATTTATGTATGTGTGACACACACAATGCATGAAGTAAATCAAAATAGTTTTGATTTTGAAAATGAAACCCTATCAATCTGGTGAATAATATTCATTTTGAAAGTTGGCAGTAAATAATTTTGTGTACAAAAATAATAGAATTGTGACGGAATAAAAAACCACTGAATTTATCGATTTTTTTGAATAGTGATTGAAGAGTTTGCCATACACTAGTCAATCTCACATATACGCAAAGGGGTTCATCGGCATGACGGCATGATTTATAGTGTATGGGGCCCTTTAAACATTTTCAAAAAGTAAACAATATTTTCATTTTTTTTTTTCAAAATACTAAATTCTGATTGGTTGAATTTAATTTGCTTCGAGTTTTGTATGTCATGGCGAAATTATTATTCGCTACCTTATATATCTACCTTGTGTTTCATTTTCGAAATCAAAACTATTTTAATATTCTTCATGCATTGTGTGTGTCACACATACATAAATAAACATTCAAAAAATTACACATACTATGATAAATGCTGTACGGCATGATGTATAGTGTATGGGGCCCTTTAGACTTCAAAACGAAAATATTAATATTTTTGAACATTCAATTCAATTTTAATAAATATTGTCTTTGTGGAGCACATTTGGGCTATTTCAAGAGTTTAATGAAGATTTTCAAGTAAATTATCCTACAAATTATAAATTGTGTTGTGTTTTGGCTGTTTTTTATTTAAAGGCGAAGCAATTAGTTTTCGCCTCGGCAAAAAAATTGAGGTTAAATGGGGCCATTGGGCCCTGGGTATGGGGCCCTTTACCCAAATACGCATTGCGTATCAAAATATAAAGTTGAATATTCTCAACATTGACAATGCGTATTTCGGATTTTTTATTTTTTTTAAAATAGAATTCCAGGCATTGAAAAATTTGTGTTTCTATAAATGTAATAATTTTTCGATCAATTAAAAAAATGTGTGCATCTAGCATTATAAAGGTGAAAATGTGCGCAATGCATTGAATTAGGTTCGAGTCTAAAATATTTTATTTTCATAAACTGGCAATATGTAAAAATTATAATGTCAATAATGTTTTAATCAATGTACCTTGGTTTTAATTTTACACAATTTTTTTCCTATACATGTATCAGCATGATAATGGAGAGATGAATAACAGTAGACGTTAGGGGAATTTCCTGGCCAATCAATTCAAGATATATGCCTTCTTAAAGTTAGGATATATGCATGGAAAATTAATCACCCCTATTCCGTATGTCGTCGTCGACGACGTTTCTTTGTCGACATCACTTCGCATTGACATCGACATTGATTTGGTATTCTGAAACACTTATGTTTATCGATAATATCAATAAAACAAAAAAAGCACGTCTAAAAAATTGTAGTCAGCTGTTTATTTTGTTTGATATTTTTGTGTAAAAATGTGTTTGTATCCTTCACCGGACTGTGGCGCAGGGCATATTTTGCAACATTCACAAGGAAACGAGATAAACCCATAGTTATTTTTTAGTATATATAGAATTAGAATTGAGTCGATTTATGCATGTCCATGTAATTTCAAACAAGTTAAAGGTCACCTTTATTATCCGAATCGGATGAAAGTTGGGACATTCCATCCGAATGGGATGAAACTTTATTTGGCACAATGATGTGCCCAAGGTGTATGCATCAGCTACAACAACGAACATTAAAAAAAAACAACATTGTTGTTATAAAAATTCAATTGTAATGCTGACAATTAGTTTATGTTATGAAGAATCAAAGCTGAAGGAGGACCTGCCTCCAGTTTTTAAAGAGATAAAAAAGATAGGGCGAAACTTTTTTACTCAACAGAGAATCCTAGTTGTTAACATCCCCAGCAACCAAAATAAACACTTTTATAATAACCTTTAACTTAATTATTCAAATACTTGGAATGTTTTTTATCAATTATCATCAATAATTGTCCCCCCTAGATACTTGATGGTGAGGAGAGACTGAAATGATGTATGTAGTGTCGATTTAGTTACACTTCTCATATACAGTTTCCATATTATCCTGGTTTTTCCTTAGCATTCCAAATTTAATTACAACCAATTATAATGGCCAATTTATAATATTGCACGGTACAATATTTTGCAAATACAAGACACGTTTATGTTTAAATAAAAATCAACTCTGTTAACCGTTAACAACATTGCTAACTACCCCACGATGTAAGGGAAAATAGTGCGCATACTCAAAACAAGCACGTGTAGGAGAAGTAAATATTATCCCTTATCAGACATATATATGCAGGTTTTTATTTTTGCTACAATACTTCACACTTTAAACAATAACAAATTGTAATACAAGAAAATGGATCTACTTCCGCTCAACTTGACGCATTTGTATCAATTAGAAATAAATATTAATCGGAATGTTCAAAAACAGTAAGTACACATTCGGTGATTGAGATCAAGAAACAAACAAAAAATGTTATTTTTCAGAATGCGTTTCACCGAACAATGGTTACGAGATATAAACACATATTTGGATCCCCAAATGGTTATGGACGCCTGGCTGCCACTATTCGGAGCATTTAGCCACAAATTGTTAGTACGTTTGGCAGTATCTACTAGCATACTTAACGTAATTACTTCACTGTTCAAATGGTAACTTTGTCACCTATTCATTGGTAAAATTCTCATCTCATTTTCAAAATATCTCCTTAGGACTTTTCCAGAATACAGACCCATTTGGTGGTTACGGGAATATGAGAGTAAATACAAATATAGAGGATTTAATTATGAGTCAAATACCTGTGACACAAGTGCCGGCTTTCCCTCAAGCCATGCCGTAACATTTACCGCCTTTGCTTTTATTGTCTTCCATTGGTTGTTGGTGAAACTGGGCAAATGTTGCAACATGAGCAATTTTGAAAAGTATATTTTGGTATATGGCTTGGTTTCATTGCCATTGGGTTTATTATGGGCCGGACGTTTATATTTTCTTACCGAATTCCTACATCAATGCATTGGTGGTAGCTTATTCGCTTTGTTCGGTGTACATTTATTTAATCGCTACTCATCACAATTGCTGAAGATGACAAAATTGAGTACTGTTTTATGGGTGTTAGTTTTTGGTATGCTGCCGGTGGGAGTATATTTTGCTATGCTATACCTTGTTGATGTGGATCCACATTGGTCGGTCAGGATGGTAAGATGTAATATTGTATTTTAAATTCAGTTGGTTTTTGATTATATCTTTGGAAAGTGAACTATTTCATGTTGTTGATTACAATTTAATTTATTATTTGAAATTTCTTCTCTCTCGATCATTGGGATAATCAAGGTCCAACTGCATAGACGTGTATAAAAATAACATCCGTTTTTTGGAATAAATCTTTATCTCAAAATTTCTTTCTTTATTTTTACAGGCCTTCAAGTGGTGTTCAGAGGTCACATTAATGCGTCATGAAGCTGGTCCAATTTATGTGCTATTTCGTGATTTTGGATACTTATTGGGTGTTGCATTATCTTGCCCTTTGCTACAAAAGTACAACCGAATATAAATGCATTCTGCTCTTGTAATGAAACTCGAATTTTCTTTTCAGTTATAAAAATAACAATGGGAGTCTATACAAACGTTTGCCAGCCACAGCTATATTGATGTTTTTAAATTTAACAGCTCTTCGAAATACACCAAAACATATGGGCCGATGGGTATTTCTTGTTTATGAATTAATTCGCAACTGTATTCATTCATATACATTGTTAACTATTTTTCCTAAAATTTCCAAGTAAAATTAATGATAAATATTATATTACATATATGAATAGTTAATAATGTAGAATACATTTAGAAGTGGTTAATTATAAATTATATATGATTAATAAAAATCGTTGGATACATTTATATACATTTTATAAAAACCGTAAAAATGTATTAAACATTTTTGTTATAATGTTTTCTACCATAATAACTCAATTTCTTAATTTTTATATTCCTTTTAAAATATATAGAATCAGTTTTAATATTCCATATGACGATTTAGGCCAATCCTTCCCTTTGACCAGCATCTTCTTTGTTGACAATACCAATTGGTGTGTTCTTACTTGAAATAATTTCTATGAACGGATACAATTTCAAAATAAAATAATCGAAAAAGTGGGATCTTATTATTTAGTTTCATTGTTGGATCTACTTATTTTGTTTTATATGTCAGTTTATTATCTAGTATTTGGATTTTCTTTTTCCAAATATTTATCAAAGCTGATAAGACTGTTGTACTTATTATAAGGCGACCATATTTTGAAGTGAAAATAGATGACATCAAGAAACCAGTAAGGACCGTTCACTAATTTGGGCCCATACAGAGATGCTACTATCTAAATGAACCTATAGTAACAAATATCATCTTACTTAATAGATATATCATATTTATAGGATTGAAATGGAATCCGACGAAATAAAATATGTGATCTATATAGACATATGAACCGATTTAAATAACCTATCACATGTCATTCTGAAATGTATGCAAAATTTCATTTAAGTGAACCTCCTTCCCCATTCTCGATTTTTTATTTTAAAAAGGAAGAAAAATAATTTATAAATTTTTTTGTTGTTTTTTGTGATCAAAGAAAAGTTTTTATGTTTGATGGCGGACATGATAACTCCTCACTGGAACATCGGAATCCGAAAATTTCAACGGTGTTGGAAAGAGTACAACTAGGATTATTGACTTCGCACAACAATTAACAAAATGGCGGAACTTTGAATTTTTTTTTGGAAAATTGCCTATTTTTGACGACAAACTAAGTTAAAAAATAAGGAAGATCTTCGCCGATTGGCTCTATCCTAGTTTATACGAGAGCTATACACTCCCAGAGAAACGTGTCAAAATTTGGAACCGATTGGATTATTAGTTTTTGAGTTATCGTGTCCGCCATTCGTAAAAGACTGCTTCGAGAAAAATGCGTTTAAAGTTTGAGAAGCAGTCTTGCCGTCACTTGATGCTGACACAATAAATCGGCTATATCTTGAAGAGTTCTTGAGATTTTCACATGAAATTTTGTAGGGACATTCTAGAATTAGAGTAGATTCGAATTAAACCAAAAAATTTGACACCGAAAAAAGGGGGGGGGTCCCCTTAAGGGTTCAGTAAAATTTTGAATAGTACAAACACTGCAATTTCTACACGAAATATAGATGACCAAAAATGACCTGATTAAAAGAATAGATGACAAATAGATGACACATATTTATGATCACCTTACTTATTTAACTTATACACTTTTGTTATGATTACATTGTCCAGTTTTTTAGATACCTTCTCATCTGCTTATAATTTCTACTTCGTTGTTATTCATTATTCTTCTGTGGTTTATTATACTCTCTGCTATTTTTGCTTTAATTATGTATTTTTCTGGATCAGTCGTCATTTTCAGAGTGGGAGTCGGGTGTATTTTTTCTCTTTTGGTCAGTCATTTTTGATGATTTCCTGTCGATCAATGGTGGGCCAAATTTCTCTTAAAAAATGATAAAGGGAAAATAAAAATATGAATTATTCTTCGGAAGTTCAAAAAATAAATTCATTAAAAAATTTCGGAAAAAATTTCATTAATGTTTATTTTTGTTTTAATATAAAAAAAATGTTAAGAGAACGCATCAACGCTGGTGTGCACGTCTGCCCAACTATGCTCTCGATTACGCTCTCACACACTTACTCTCAATTTAGATCTGTTCAACACTGGTCTGGTTACGTTCCCAGTAATATTTACTCTAGTTCTAGTTCAGAGAGTAAGCCGTTTTGAGATAATACTGAGAAAAGTAAACAGACAACATTTAGTAAGATTTAGCAAATAAACAGCTGATTCAAGAAAAAAAGTTTATTTGCGCCAAAATAACCAACAAACAATGGACGAACAAAATTATTTGCATTGCGTTTAATATTAAAAATAAAATGAACAATAAAAGAAAAATTTATTTGGTATGTTCCCCGGGAACAGCTTACATGTTCCTTTATCAATACATTGCCCTCTTTCTGGAACTTACCTAAAAATATAAAGAATTAGTTTCTAATTTAATGAGACTTTGCATTACTTACGAATTTTCTTCCATTTTTTGTAATTTTTTATACAACTTAACTTCAAATTGAACTTGGCAAATGAAAAAAATGTTTTTAATAATTTTTGTGTTTGGTATTAAAACAGTTGACCCAAAAAGACTGAGTTTGCAAAATCTTACTGCATAAAATTCTTTCAGTAAACTGTTGCAGAACTGTCAAATTTGCTCTCTCACTTGACTCTCTTTTACTGGATTTTTGGGTAAACAGACAACATTTAGTAACAATTGTTACCAAAAATCGAGTAAACAGACAGATCTAATATTATAGCCGAGACAATAGACCTAGACGATGTGAATGGTGAATATAATATTGTGATTAGCAACCGTTACAGAAAGTGTTGCAACTGTGGTGCTGAACCTGCAAATTAAAATCCTTAGATTAAAGGTGTGCAACGAAAAAAATCTCAGAGAACAAATGAGAAGCCGCCATATGAAATGAACTTTTTTATACATGTAAACAAGAGTACGAGTTCCCATGTTTGAACAGGGCTACCCTAGATTATCATTAAATTGCTGAAAGCTGAATGCAAAAATATTGGACGAAGGGACGTATAAATTAACATATGCGATTGGTCGTGAGTTGAATTTCTACAGGACGATCGACAACCAACAAAAGAAATTATGCAACTTTAAAAGCGCAAATACTCAAACTGCCACTTTAGAGCCATTGAATAAGAATATCACATTGAAAGGAGACATTTGTTTGCCAACATCCGCTAAGGAGGATTGGACAGCCGAAAACATCCGCATGGCGACTGATGCACCCACTGGGAGGCATGAAGACGTCGTTATTGTTGCTGCTCACGAGAAGGCTCCTGAGGTCACCAGCAAGAGCAGTGTTCAAATCTACCCCGGTTTCAATCGCTGAAGATGTCTGGAATTACATATTTGGGCTATTCTACTGTCTCACTTAAGGTGAAGCGCCTCCCAAGGCGAGGTGCGAGGATGGCAATTTGTAAATGTATTTGTATTAGTACACGTAGCTTAAGCGGTACACACACATCAAACTTGTGCGTTCCATCGGTGAATGAAATTAAAATAATTTAATTAAATAACAAAGTTCGTTCTTTTTTTATGTCATCACTATCGCTTAAGCGTAGCCGCAAAATGATGCGCACCATCATAGACATGTTTATTCGTTGAAGTCTCAACGTCGACTAAACAAATAAGAGTAAGAATCCGTGTGAGTTGAGCTGACCAGTAGATTGCAAGGGCGTGCATCCCTGCTCCAAAGTGAAGGAATTTTAGAAAACAATTTCATTTCCGACAGTAAGTGGTTGTTAAGTGTTTCAAAAGAATCCGACAAACATAGCTTGTACAATTTGAACTAAATTTTTAATTGCAATGTCAAAATCACCAAAGGCAAGGGTAAAAACTGCATCCAATACTTTAATTGCCAAAAACCTGGCCACGTGTCCATGCCCTCTGTCGGCATCTCATGCAGCGGGAGTCGTGGCCCAAACGAGTGTTCTATTCCTTCTAAGGACGACAGACATATATTGAAGTTGTTTACCCCATGTCGGGCAAAACTGCAAAAAAGGCGTTAATTTTTGTAAATGTGTCAAAATCCAGCTTCGCCCCTTGATTGTCCACACGGATTGGCATATATAACCAAATGGGGAAAAAGCTGAAGCCCAAGCTAAGTTTGAAACAAAATCCCAGTGCTTGGCGTCTGCTGACGATCGCCCAATCGTCCAGCCGCTGCTCCCGGTAATCCCAGCAATGGCAGCAGTTTTGGTAATATTATCAATCTTTTCGGTCGGATTTCATGTCGAATTTTAAAGTGTATTTTATTAACGTCACTTCGACAATTTCTGAAGAACTACATCAGGGATAGAGCTCCAGATATTTTTTTCTCTAAGCATAAAATCAAACCTACTCATAGGGTTAATTTTGAGGGTTACAATGGAATCTTCTAGTGTAGGTATGATGGAGGTGGGACTGTGGTGTTAATTAGAGATTTTTCTGATCAGGGGGCTTACTCTGTATTGCGTTACGAAAGCCAAATGCGTTAAGAGTACAATTTGGTACACTGTATCGCTCACGCAAACGCATTCGCAAAATATATCGATAATAAGTCAACACTGGCATCACAAAGTAAACAATAACGAAGAATAACGTAAGGAAACGTCAAAAAAAATTTAAATAAAAACGTATTTTTATGTGGTACGAGTATTTTTTTTTAACAAAAATGATGAACGAATTAAAAAAAAAAGAATTTTAAGAGATCGATTAAATATACTCTCGCTAAGTGAACACGGGTATGAAAATAGAAGTACGAATTATGTGACAAACGTTTTCAAATATTTAATTTTTATAAATTTATACAAAATGTTCGTTTCAATAAAGATGCGTTTATGTATTTAATAAACGCTATTAAAAATAACCTTGTCGTTCCAAATAGATCCACAGCAATTCCAACTCCAATAAAAGTGGCCGCTGCTTTGAAATTGCTTGGACAAGGTGGTTATCAACACCAACCTGTAAATATGCACACATAGTTTCACATTTTATATAAAAAAATATTAAAAATTTTTTCCAACCAGCGACATCTCTTACAGGAGGTGCATTTGAATTAAGGTCATCAATATATACGGAAACGAATTAGAGAGTACCAATTACGCGATGCGATACAATTTTTCTTACGCATCGCAATACAGAGTAACCCCCAGGTCGAATCTTGTGTGGTTAAAGTCTTGAAGGATGATGGGTCATTTGTATTCTTCGTCGCCCTCTAATATCATCCGATCTCTAGGTAATGTTCGATCTAGGCACCTCTGGTGAAGTCCAGATTGGAGGTGACATTAGTGGGAGAGTTGTAGCCTCGTACCTGACGGATTACTCTAATATTGAAGGATTTACGTCAACCTTTACCACCAGACCTAATGATTACGGCAGTTCCTTCATCAATGTATGCATGCGCACCCTGGCCTAGTCTTGCCGGGCGGCAGCACCCGATTGCTTCTTTCGACTACGATTAGGACGGCAGTGTAATCGAGCTGTTGCTCCAGTGGGGAGCGTTCGCCACCCGAGAGGTTAGAATTTTTTCAATTATGAAAAAATTAATGTAAATAGGTTTAGGACCAAAGTACATAATGGCCTTGCCAACATATGACTGCCAACCAATAATAATGTCTTTGAGGAAGTGATTGATGTGGCGGCGTTCCAGAAATTCAAAAGTATGGCATTGGGAAATCTTCCCCAAATCCTTAGTTTTATGCGGAAGCGTAGGAGAATTTGTAGGACATTACGTAGATCAAACGATCCTTCGCACTTCCCCGCTTTAAAGACTGATATCCGAATCTTGGATCGGATTATAGAGGATTCAATTCGCATATTCGAGCATGAGCGTTTCCAGTTCATCTTTGAAAAATAAAAGTGGACAGCAATATCTTGGGTCAGTTTAAGGCAGCTGCCGGCCGGATAGACGTGGTAGTTATCTGCTATCCCTTTTCTGTCCGCCTTTGGAAAACTTTTTGAGTATTTCATACTGGTGCGCGTTAAATTTACTCTTGAAGATAAGCGAATTTTAATTTAATTTCAGAGCTAGACACTCTACTTCCCACGCACTCATCTTCTTTAGCAATTAGAGGATTAGGCAGAAGGCACGGTAATATCGTCGTAGGGCTAGGGCTATCGTCGTAGGGCCTTTGACTCCGCCTGGCCTCCTGGATCCTATACAAGCTGAAGCAGCTTTCTGGTACCTTATCTCCTCCAACCAAATGGACATGTTGAGAAGTTGGGAAAGTTTAGTTCCTAATTAGGGGTGCCATAAACTTTTTGGAGAAGTCGCATAGACTTGGCTGGAGGAAAGTTCCTTTCAGTAGTCGATAGATGCCGAGTCAGTGAGCAGCAGCAGTGATTTTGTATGAACTCTACTCTGAAATATAACAAATGGGAAAATTTTATACAAATGTAGGTATTGGTTGGAGCTCATATTTGATGGTAATTTATTCGTACTCAACCAGAGTCCAAACATTTTCTTAAAAGTATTAGATATTACAATGGATAGTTTCAAATAACAGGATTGGAACTAAAAATGATCGAGAGATGATTTTGTGTCATCTTTTAAAGTACAAGGCCAGGTTTGCCATTCAATTGAAAGTTTAATGCGGACTTTAAACGCCACAACATGGGATAATACTTAACTTAACAACTAAAATTGCATATGTTAGCATGTAACTAACAATATTCTCTCGATTTTAATAGGTAAACACAAACACCAGAAGAAAATGAACATAAATAAGAAAGACGTAACAAATGGGTAGTCCCGTTCAACCCAGATCTTCTACGGGCTTTATTATGAAAGTACATATATAATTATTATGTAAGTATGTAAACGAAGGTAGCGATCTGGACGTATTTGCTCGTGGAAACGAGACGGATGGAACAAAAATATAGCAGGAATACACGTCTGATTCAAACAGCCATCCCGAAGCATCACCATTTTCGCCTCGCCAAAGTCATCTCTTGATGTCATGTTTCTCTCAGCAACCGCATCTTCGTCGTCCTCTCTAAAAAAGAAAAATAATTTAGGTGATCTTGTAAAAACTACAAAGGCGCAAATCGATATTCTAAAATGTGTGGTAAAAGGTAGCCAATGTTTGTCAAATGAAATTGTAAGTGCCATCCTAGAATAAAATAAAGCCAGCAAATAATTTATTAATTAAATAAAAAGTTTAATGGATAAAATTTAGAAATATGTAATAGTTTAATCGTTCATTCAGTTTGATATATAAAAATACCATTTTACTTACTGAATCTAAATGATATTGCATTTCTTATTATTGGTGCTGTCACGTAATTGTCATAACTTTTTGGTGAGTGGCTTGGAGTGGTTGTGCTGCTGAGTCTCCGGCAATAATTTTCCATCCACGCAGGAGAAACTTCATCCTCATTTTTATGAAGTTGTGCAAAATACAGTATGGTTTTAATATGCAGATATATTTTGGTGATACTTGTAAGCCCTTACCTATTCTCCTAAATCCAGCTTTTAGTTTCCCAAATGCATTTTCAATCACACGTCGACATTTGGTTAGTCGATAATTAAACATTTTGTCTACATCTGGCTGATATATTGAAGGAAAGCCTTGATGTTATAACGGAATAAAAAAAATTCATAAAGTTACAATTTAGAAATGAAATGCAGAATGTCCATCTTATTCTGCGTACCGTTGTCCTACCGTTGGAAAATAGTCTTATTTAATATTTGGCGTGGTATATATTTAAAAGCGGTGCTGTTGATTAGTTTGCAAATATCCATAATGTCTTATTTGATCTTTCTCAAACACTGTCATGAGATTTAAATTATAATTTGTTTGATAATATTAAATCAATTTAAATCAAAATCTTGTGTCTCGGTGCGGTCTTGAGTGTACTCATAATTGTTTCCCTACCCAAGGGGATACCCAAAAGAATATCATAAATTGATATTTTTTGTTGAAACAATTTAATTCGTATTATTGCTCTTAAAAGAAAGCAGCATTTTCCATTTATTCATCAGACCACAGTTTGTTTTATGTTTGTTTCATTAGAGTTTTATTTAACTGTACTTGTTTAAACTACAAGGACTATGGCCGAGTGTGTTTTGAAGATTTATGTAATGGTTTAAATAAAATGTGTATGTCTTCTTTGTTGGAAACTAATTATGTAAATATTCCACTATAAATATAAATGAAATCTTTGATACTTAACATTCGTTGGTTCCAGTATTTAGACTTAAATCCAGTGTTGAAGATGATATTCGTTGCATTCACACAATAAATGAAAAAACACTGCATTTTACTGAAACAGTAATAAAAATATTAAAATTTATTTGACTTACGCTTTATTTAAAATAAGAGAAATAAATAAATTCTAAAAAAAACATTTTTTGTTCCGAAACATTGACAACAGAACGAGACGATATGTGGTAATTATTTCTAATATAATTTTTTATTATATAAAAATATTAATACACAAAAATAAATACATGAACTAATTAATTGCATTACATTTGATTTATGTTTTTATTTAAAAAATCGTATTTTAATGATGAACGAACGTCTTGTGTGTTTTTTTCAATTTGACTAAATAATAATTATTGTACATACCACATAAAATGGATACACACATACATATGCACTGTAAATAACAGTCATAAACATATTTACATACATAAGTGCTCAATTTTGTTGGTTTTCATATTATTTAATTAATTTTAGTGTATGATGACAGTGGGCTGGTAAATATTAGATATTAAATTAAATGGAAGTGCTTTTAAGAGTTCAAGGGTAGGATATGAAGTTTAACCGAAATTCTCGAAATGATGTATGAAATATGGAAGTTTACGAGTTTTATTAACTTCGTCACATGCCGACATAACACTTTTGGTTAATGGCCGGGGACCACAAGAGAATACACCTATTTTCGAGACCTGTAAAGAAAAGTGGGAAGAGAGATTAATAATACGTTCAATTGAATGCTGCAATGATTATCACAACTTACATAGGAATGCTTCTTTTGTACAAATTTCAAGAAACTTGACATATCTGGTCGTCCAAAATGATTAACAGCCTTAAGACCCGTAAATATTGACGTTTTCGATAACCGTTGGAAGTGATTTTCACAAATGTACTGAAAGAAAAAAATGAATTTTATTACAAAATATGAATATAGAAACAGCAAAGACGTAAAAATGGTAAAGTTAGTTATATATGTAAAATGCATTCAATAAGCTATTTATTCCTATCATTTTATCCCTAACAACCTGAACTGAACAGTCGAGGCCAACCATCGGATCGGACCGTGGTTCTGTTGGCATTGCCACAACATCACATCACCAGAGGTCAGTATCGATGAGATGTAATGGGTTAAGGGAGTGTATGTAGTTCAGAAAATATTCCTGTTTGGCTCGATTGCGAGACTACAGCAAACTGAATTATATTGCCTAGGGCTGCTACCGATACCAATTCGAAGATATGCCGCAAAACTTTGTTCCTTCTTGGTGAGGAGGGTCAGACACTCGGTTGGTAATGCAACTCCACATCGAGCTGAAGCTCTTCTTGCGAAAACTTTGGGCTAACCAACTAGGGGCAAATCACAATCGTCAGGCTGTAACCTCTGTTTCAGGGGCTCCTGACACCCGTGTCTCCGGACAACCTCTGGCCGGTACTAGTTTTTCGTCAATTCTGGCATGGGCACTAGTAACCCTTCAGACACTCATGTGTCTACAAAAAACGTCAGTGTCGCTCAACCAACACCCGTCGACGTCGGAAAACAGGAATAGCAAATTCCTCGAGGCTAGCACGAGTTGCACTAGTGGAGAGGCTGATTCCCATGGAATCCAGGATTCTGAGGTCCTCTTAGAGAGGACACTCGCACAGTACATGCAGCCAGTCTTCGACTTGAGCCCCACATCTACATGCCGCTGTGTCGGAGAGGTTCTTTCTAAGCAGGAATACATTGAGAGAACCATGTCCAGTCAAGAAGAACCCCCTAGGTGGAGGCCGAAACCAAAATCGGGGTTTGTCGCATCGAAAGTAACATCCGAGATGAACCAGAATGTCGCTCTCGCTAGTGTCCCATCTAGATACTACTACTTCGTGCAGCCGGTATTTGCGTTCGATGACACTCAAACTCCTAATATCTTCCACAGCCCAGTCAGAGGGCACTATGGGCAAAATCCCCTCTTGGCCAAAAATAACATTTGCATGTATCACTTCTAGATCAAGAGGGGTTCGCCCAGCAACAACTGCATGGCATCGGTGGATACTGTGCGACATACATGTATGAACGCAACCACCATTATGCGCTGTCACTATAGTATCTTACGATACCTGTACCCCGTTGCGGCGGTATGCCAAATGGGAGCACCATATGTTGCGCAGGCAACAAACAGTCCACCATATACCACCCGTATTCTAAGACCACAATCAGAACGTAAAATACGTCTAACGGGACCGACACATCTTCTCCTTGAGCCGATACAGGTGAGGGATGAAATTCATCCTCTCGCCCATGCATATGCCCAAGTATTTGACTTCGACGACAACATTGGGATGTCGGTTACTGGACAACCTACCTTTCAGTAGCATTGTCACTGTCTTCTCCCGGACAATATGGACACCAACCGTGGTGCCCCAACTCCCGACGATAGACATCATTCTGGCACCCAACAGTTCCATCTCAAAACCAAATTGAGCTTCCACCAGAATAAGCAAATTGTCCGTGTAAGCATATACCTTACAATGTGCATGTGTATGGACCACAAATAGATCCCTGCGGACAACCGTGTATAACCTCAATCTACATCAAGGCCTGCTGCGTCCTCTACATTAAGGCCTGCTTTGAAGCCGAACTAACACTCGCTCTCTGTTCCAACCAACCGCTCCTGAAGCCTCTGCATCATAACCCTCTCCAGTACTTTCCCAAGTACTGGTAGTAGTCTGATACTCAGATAAGATTACTCCTAGCCTTATCAGGCGACTTCAGCAGAATGATGACCTTCGCAGATTTCCACGCCTCCGAGAAAATGCCCAAGTGTACGCACTTGCCCAGCAAGAGCTCTCGGTATTTCGGAATGACCTTCCAGATGCTTTTACAATTCTATCCGCTGATTCCGTCCAACCCAGGCGACATCTTGCATTGCACAAGAGCCACGGCCTGTTCGATATCATTTCTTTCCAAGTCAGAGCCGCAATCTCCTGCGGAGAATGCAACTCCTGCTCCAACCTTGGAAAGAAAGAGGACATCAGACCGAGTATGCACTCACTTCAAGTTCGCCACAAGTAAGTTGCCTCTCTGGAATCTCTTCCGGAGACGCCGTACGGCTCTGCGCTTCAGATTAAATCTCTAATCCTCCACAAGAGTTTCCTAGAGAATCTTCGGTTACATCGCTTGAACAGGCTATAGTTCACAGCAGTGACTGCGTTGGTTAAAAGGGACACTTGTCCATCGACTGGAAGAGTGGAGAACTCGTCCAGAGATACCTCGTTGAACGCACTTCTAATTTGGTGGCCATAAAATGACCAGTCAATATTAGAAGTGCGCCAACGCACAGAAGGGTCAACGAAATCCACCAATTCATCAAATGAAGTCTTTATATTGGACCAAAACTGGTCGAATAAGGTTCCTGAACTAATGCGTATCTGCAGCCAAGTTGACGGCCGTGACAGCCTGCGGATTGGATTTATACAATCCATCTTAATGTCGTGATTTCGCCATAGTCCCCATCAAGCTGCACACAGGACAAGCCTTAAACATCATCAGATGTTCTGACGGTTTGCCTCTGAACGCACAGTTCCGGATGAATGCCATCCTCGGAGCTCACCTCCGCCCGCCGCAGCTAAAGAAAGTCAGCTGCCCATACAAACCGGAATAGTTTTAGCCCGATTATGTTCAGGATGTTACAATAATCTCAATTCGTATTGGGCACGGATTGATGTCCGAATTGATGGCAGAATGTCTGTCCAGCATGTTTGGTACAGACCCTCGTCCACACTTATTCAATTGCTCTGCCAAACTTACTCCAGAAGCTGAGTGGATTCAGCCTGTGAAGTAGCTGCATTTATTTATTTATTTCAGTCTATGGAAGTATAAATCCTAACAGACTAGATTATTATGAGATAAAGTGTAAATCTAATAATTCTTTAAATTTATCTAAAGTATAAGTAAAATCCAAACTTAATTCTATATTTATTAAATTGAATTGTTTAAGCACTCTTACAATTTTTTACATTTCTTAACTTGGAGACAGTATCACAATCAGACTGAATCAAACAAGAATAAGAATCGTATAAAACTGCTACCACAGATTTCCAAGCTGTTCAAGGTCGCATAGGAACTACTCCCCATCAAAATGAAAACGTTATGTTTTTATTTACAAAAAAAGTCTACGAATAGTAAAGTGAAACAGAGAGTTCACCCAGCTGAAGTGATATTTTCCAAACTGTTTAGCCTCTACCTATTAGTTATTATTCCCATTTATTATTGGAGATCCAAATTCCAAATCCAGCATTGGTAAGCAATCACAGAGCTTAAATGCAGTCTTAGTAAAAAATAAAGTCGTTCCTTGCCAAGAAACTTAATCTTTATAAATATTTTTCATGAACAGCTACTCGTATTCTCGGTGTTAACTTGCTACGTTTGCTGATGAAGTGTCATTTCAACTATATACATATTATAAGAACCCTTCTAAAAGCCTTCGAATTATATAGGGGTTACGTGTCATCTACAACATTATTTTTATAAAATTAATACCGAAAATACTTTCTAATATTTTGATATCTCTATAATATATATAGAACATATTGAAATTATTTTCATACTCACCAGCATTGTTGTTCTCAAATCGAATTTATGGAAAAATTGTGTTATGAAAATATGAATCTCCAAAACGTTGGTAACGTCCTTCTTCTCCACATCCCGCAAAACATCAATGAACCATTCAAAGTGTTTATGTGACGGGCAAATCCACAGGAAATATACCTTCTTACATGCGACACCCGAATAACGATTGGTACTTGTACCGAACACCAAATCGTTGAGTATTGAAGCATATGGTGTTACACCAATACCACCACCAACCATAACGGCCACTTCGAATTTATACCAGTCTTGATTGCCACCACCAAATGGACCTTCAATACGTATTTTTGGTTGATCTTCAGCATTATAATTGCAAGGATCAAAATAATTTCGCAATTTCCATGTCCATGGACCTTGAGCTTTAATGTGACAGCTGAGGAAATTTTCATGCGGTGCCGATGTTAGCGTAAAACTATGCATTTCATGGGGGCGGAAGGCAGTACAGGATAGGCGAACCCATTGGCCGGAGAGATATTTTAGATTTGGTGGACGATAGAATTTGATTTTGATAACATCGGATGGTAGCAGTTCTGTTTCTATAACATCCAATGCCATATATTTCGTTCGTAGCGAAACAATTTTATCCAGTGTGTAAATAATACCCGGTCCCAAGAAAAACATCCAGAATCTGGGTGGCCCGGTGAGTCGTGCCAGGCCATGTATCAAACTCAGCAAATACAGACCGATATAGAGCGTGTGCATATTCCAGAAAAATTTATAGGCCTTTTTGCGTATCGTGGGATGGGCAAAGACAAAGATGATGCACATTATAATGAACAGTAAAACGCCCGTGGTGCCTAGAAATAATGAAAATTTTTATTAAAGTTTTCCATAAAATCATTTTAAGAATGTGTTTCTTACCCGTCACAGTTTGGAATAACCAAAATGTTATATCCGGCTTATAGTCCGAGGCAAAATGTACTTCACGCGTTAGACATTTAAGATTTTCATGAGACTGCGTCGAAACATGATAGAAATTGACAATGTGTCCAACAGTATGCAGTACGGAAAAGAACAGGGCAGTACAAGCAGCAATTTTATGAAATTGTATGTGTGAATCCAAGGGTATATATTGTTGAATGGGGAATTCCTTTAATTTCGTTATAAGATTTCTGAAAGAGATGCATAAATATTGCTTAAAATATTGCCATGAATGCATAATATTAAAACGTAGACCGATATTAATAATTTTTGATGTGAGTAGAACAAAACAAAGACTGTGGCTGTACAAAAATGCAGAATATTTTACAAGACATGTGGATATATAAAGTATTAAAACGGACCCAACATATAATCTATAAAATAAAAAAAAATAATAAGGTGACGGAAAAATTATACAATATGAACATTCTAAATATATGTATGGGCAATATTCCATTTTCAAAAAATCGTTTTTTTTTGTTTTCGTGGTACATCAATGATTTTTGGTACACATATAGAGAAAAAATTGGGATTATTATTCTTTACCCGAATTTTGCCGAAAAATGGACATATATATAGAAATAATCACTTCTTGTGTATAAGTACACACCTAGCGGATTGTAGCAAGACCCTTCCGATAAATCTTGGGATTCTATAAGTAGGAGTAAATCTTAAAGTAAAACTATATTATGAAATATACATTTTAAATTGCGTCTAAATCGCGTAATTCTCAAAACCATGCGCATGAGGTTTCCAGGAAGTACTGAAGTTTATCTTCAAATCCATGTATATTTTGCGAAATTTCATTTGACGGCTAAGATGTACTGCACGTTGCATTGAATAACCCAAAACTCGTAAAACGCGAGTAATTTCCGAAAACTCCATATGCCATTAACGCGCATCCGATTTCGGTGTGCACCCTAAAAAAAATATATCGATTATTATATTTTAATGCGGTCCATTAAGAACCATGGATGACCCACCTCCCCCGTTCTAGTAGATGGATTTTCACAAAGAAGATTTTATATCATCCGACACGTACAAAACATTACATTCTCATATACTTAAGTGATATCCGAGTTATGAAGGGGTGAACCTCCGCTTCAGCTACGTTAAAAATTGGCAATATTGCCCATATATATATATATATATATATATATGAACACAACATATGGCATACACAACTGCGCCACGAATTTACGGACTATCAAAAATACATAAGGAAAGAATACCACTTTGACAAATATGCTCATCCATGAACTCTCAAAATACATAGTGGATGTTCCGAGAGTTTTTGATTTCCCATACTTTTTTAGATTCCCATTTTTTTATTTTTTTGTTCAATATGTTACGAAATGTGTTCAGTAACTATCAACAAAAAAAAACATATGTTTTTGATTGATTTGCTATTTGTTTAACAACAAATTTTCCTGGTTTCTACTTAAAGAAGCTAATGATACTGGAACGTGTTAAATGACGTCGCCTTAGGGACCTAACGGGTAAGCCAGAATATGTGTAAGTATTTCGATGTTTGCAAAGCAATGCCCTACATAATAATTCTGAAAAGGTTGTGCAAATCGTAAATGTTTGTTGCGCGTAGGAATGTATTGTTGTTAAATAATCTGTCATGTCTGCCATATTGAGCTTACAGAATTCTAGCCTTTACTATCACACACTGTTCTTTATAAAAGGAGCATTTTTATTTTCTTTAATTTTACTAGAAAAGCTAATCTGAATACTGCCCTTTTGAATTAAATGTTGTAAAAACGAGTTAAATATTACCTACATATGCATTTCGATCCGAATTATATTTCCTATATTTTTTGAGGTATTCGGAATGGGACCACACCAAATGTGGGAAAATGTTTCACATCCTAGCAAACTCGGAATGCAGCATATGTATAAAAGATTCAAGTTATTTCATGTACGAACAGCGGAAAGCACTTCCAAAGGGCTCTCCAGCGTCACCGTTTATTGCAGATATAGTAATGGAGGAGTAATTGGACGCTTCAATGGAGAAATTGACGAATAAACCAAACCATAGTGAAAAGAACAGAGATCGACACATCAAATGTCCTCAATTCCTTTGATCAACATGTAATCTAATTGATCAACATAATAATCTGACAACGTCAAATACTAACAATAGATTGGTAGCAAAAGCTCACCGCATCTGTACGATAATTAACTTTTACTCTAAGCATCCCGGACGAATAAACTTCATAAACAGAGTACTTAATATAAGCGATGAACAATTCCACCAAATGATTTGCCGCAGAAAACCATTGACGTACTACTAAAATCTTGCAAACACAAGAACGAAATGAAGAAACAAGAGGAAAAACCATACAGAACAATGACTGTCTGAGATATTACGGAAATCGAATATTTATGACAAGAATAATTACACTGTGCGACACAAAAATTATTTAGGAGTTCTAATGTATCAATTCTGTTTAGTTTGAGTCCCTGGACCACGAAAATACCTTTCGTTTTTCTGGGTCACTTCGAAATTTAGTTTTATAAAGGTAAATGTAGAGAAAAAACGTGGTTTCATAGATTTTCAATTTGAAACGCGATTAATTTCTTTTATTTCTAACGGATATATAATTTTTTCTTTCGAAGAGTAGAATATTGTATATATATTTGGTAAATCGGTTGAGGATTGGCTGAGTTACAGTGGTTGAAATGTGAAAAAATACGCATAAAAAGACAAAATTTATTTATTTTGTACGATGAAATTATGATATCAATATCAAGTTTTATTATATTACGGGGAAGAAAATTAAATAAGCTTTCGAAAATGAGAAAACTTATACACAGTTTTGTATTGATTCTATGCATATTCACAAAAGGAACTATGGGTCTATCTCGTTTCCTTTTGTCTGTTACAAAAATATGCACAAAAACATAATACCCTGTACCACAGTGTAGTGAAGGGTATAACAAAAATATTATAATACAACTAAACCGAATTGGTACATTAGAACACCTGAATAATTTTTTTCTTGTTGTTTTATAGCACAGTGTTATTAATTAGACTTAAAATCCAAGAATAACGTCAATTGCATGTTCAGCAAAACAAAATCAAAAATGAACTGAAGTGCAATGTAGGGGAGACTGGGCACCTTCGGCACTTTTTTGGAGCTTTATATCTCAGTACTTATTCAACATATATCCTTTTGGTACTATTTTTTATAATTAAGTGTCCTCTGACACTTAATTAATATAATTAAGTATATATCTTATTAAATACTTGTATTTTTGTAGTATTTTCCTGAAGATGACTGCCGAAGACAGTCAAAATATGATGGAGGGTATGAACATACAACTAAAGTTCGAAATATGTGTTGTGATAAAACTCACCTCGCCATTGTAAGTAAAAGCAATGAATAGCAGAAGGACAATGAAGCTGCAGATCCTCTGGTAATAGCTATACCAACACCCATAATATGCCTCAAATCCGTATGTTCGGCCATAAATGAATAATCTGTAAAATTGAAAAAAATTCAATTACATAAAATTAAAAAATTTTTACATCTTTATACTTACGAATAAATCTCTCCACAAAGAGAACAATCGTTATGACGTAGAATAGAAATAGATAGAAAATATTTTGACGATTTTCTTCTAAAAATGTTATGTAACTATCCCATTTCTCTTGCATCCAGTGTCGGGGACGTTCTTGCATTGGCTCGATATTAAACGAAGTCATACGCGCCACATTTGTCGATGTATCCAAAAAGTTTTGTTTAGCACCCTTACAATCTAAACCGATGGCCACGAAATCTCCCTTGTATTCCTTCATCATCAGTTTGAAATCTTGATAGGTGAGGTGGTTTTTATGTTCCAAACCAACATCTTGGAACATACCATCAATTAGTTCCGTAACTTGATCATCGCCAAGGCTTGTGGTTCGAGCTATCTCCACTAAGGAACGCATCATTTCGCTAAGTTCTCCCTTGTCGATGACACCGTTGCGATCATTGTCACACATATCGAAAATAATACGCAGTTTATCGTCAGTTTTACCGCGTGAGAAGAGAACCACAGTTTCAAGGAACTCTTGGAAACTAATGCGGCCATCTTGATCTTTATCGACAATGTTGAACATTTTACGGACAAACATATCATTGGGTTTCATGCCAAGGGCAGCAGCAAATTCCGCCTTTGACAGGGATGTACGCATCACGGTCATAACTTCACCGTCGGAAGAGGCATCAGATCTGCGGCGTCTTTCACCAGGTCTCAGGCCAAATGTTAAGGCGTAAGCCTCACGGAAGAAATATTCTAGGCGTTTTTGTCTTCTCTCTCGGGTCTCAGCACTAGCGAGCATAACATCGCGATTCACTTCGACCAATGTCATTTCTTTTTTGTGCAAAATAAGGAAATCTTCCAATTTCTTTACAAATTTCCGCCTAGCTCCATATGATTCCAGTTCCAATACCAAATCATGATCATTGGGTACCCGCAGCAGAATATATGGTTTCTTTTTAATGTGATTGTGAGCCGACTCCTCTACATTGACCACATCGACAGATTTCAAACTAAATGTTCGCAATTTTTCACCTTTACGATCGACGGTATAGATTGCAGCTTCCGGACCAAATTTCACCGTTACCAATCGCTTGTGATTGGCATGAAGCCATTCGCGAGCTAACATTTTATCTACTGAACCCTTGTGTTGTGGTGCTCTTAATGCTTCTTGACGTATTTTTAATTTTCTTCGTTTGCTATTTTGTAGCTTAACTACACAATAACCGGCACCTGCACAGAGGATCGGCACGAAACCCAAAAATACACAAACATAAATGAACATTAACTCGGAACCGGAAAAGTAATCAAAGCCCTCGAGATAGGTACAGGGTTCCAGTTCAGTGGCATTCAATTGCATGGGTTGGGGACATGGATCACCCTCTTGCCAGTGGAACACATTCCTCTGTATGTCATCTTCACCAATATCCGTACTATTCACAATAATGTCATACATGGTTATCTTACGGATCTCCTCAATTTCTTCTTTGGTAAAAATACCGTTTTGATCATTCTCAAACCAGAAACGATCGGCATCACGTAATCGCTCAAATTGTTCTTTAATCACAGCTGTGAATAGTTCACCCGGTTGTCCATATGATTCCAACATACCACCCACATATACATCGACATCATCCAGCTGGTCGTTATATGCTGAGATTAACATTTCCAAAAGTTCTGGTTGTTTTTCAAATAATTCAGGATTTATTTCAGTCCAGGTGTTACGACGTGGTAGGCCGAATGCTTCGCGAGCACTATTGTAATCGGGCAGGCCATTATCACGACCGCGCATTATATTCAAAGCTCCCAAATCACGACGTGTAAATTCCATGGGACCGAAGAGTTTATCACGTACATCCGAACATAACACGGGATCTTCACGTTCCGATATTTGTGATGACAAACCCATTAGGATTTCTTCAATAGTTGTGTCCGTAAGGAAGTCCTAGAAGAAGACAAAAACATGATTAAACAAGGATACATACATTGAACTTGAAGACTCAAAAATATATTTCCTCAAGTAAAATATATCTTTCAGGAAAAGAGAAAGCGATCTATAGGAAATATCATCGCCATTAATTCACTTACACTTGAATCCCACCATGTCGAACACAAACGTATTGCCGGATAACCCATTGGTGTCTTCTTATAGTTACACTTTGAGTCACGTCTATAAATTCCAGGTGGTATCATGGTGTGACCAAAACGGAAAGCAGCAGCTTGGAATATATGACCAATGCCAGGATGAATATCACGATTGTAACCCTGATAAGGTCTCAATTCCGAACCCAAAAATGCCGGCAAATATTCATATAAAATGACATTTTGCAAACTAGCAACAACAGTGCGTCGAGCCCGCTGAAAGATTTCTTCGTCGGACCAATCGGAATGAGCACGTTTAATACGCTGTGCCAGGGTGTTGTGCCAGCGCAGAAAAAGTATGGCAAAGGCAAGTACAGCGGGATTTTGATTTGTACGGGGATCACCAAGCACTGAAAAGGGGAGAATAAGTAAATAAATAATATAGACAAAATCAAATATCGATGTATCTGATTGATACTCACAAAACAAACGTTCCGGACTGAGCATTTTCATAACACTCGGCACGGGGTTATTAAACAGTGGCACACGCATTGTATTCCTCACCGGAAGTTTACCACTTTTATCTGTCAGCAGAGTGCCATTGTGAAACGAACGCATTGCATTTAGCCAAGCCTCTGAGGTACTATAAATAAAACTACCATCTATCCAGGCAGTCATTTGATTGATTTGCTCTCTTGGAGCGTTAGGACTTTGTCCAGTATTCCGATCATATGCTGCCCTATGAAAGGGTATGTATTTATCACCACGACATTCCTTGTCGTACATTTCATCACATTTCTCGATTTCAATGCGATGCATTTCAATGGGACAGCCCGATTCGGAGGCCATGACAATTTCGTTGGCCACAACCTGACCGAAAAAGGCCAACAACCCGGTACGATTGTATTTCGAACCGAGACCATCACGACCACGCATAAATAGGCGACTCAGTCGTCTTGTTGATGGTCGATTTGAACCGGCCATAGCGTATACGCCATCGGAATATGATGGCGGTGCTTTGCGCACCAGGTGACTATCTGAAAAGGAAGAAGAAGAGGAAGAAAAAAAAAAACGAAATAGAAATTAAACAAAAAAATGTTAAATAAAACAAATTAAGAATGCAAACAAATAAATATTACATCACGACAATAAAAAGTTATCTCAACACGTTGGAATACAAATGTCATCGTGCTCATAGTTTATCTGAATATCATTAAATCGATTACGACGAAAATAATAGTGAATCAAAGCCTAAAATGGAAGTAAAACATTTTATATTTAGTTATGACAATGTTTTACTATGTATGCACACGTCGGCTATCGGTTCGGCGATATATGGAAATCAAAAATGCATATATAACTCAAATTTCTAAGACGATTGTAGGCTATTCGTCAGTAGATGTTGCTAATAAAGCCAGAACTTAATGCCATTAACGTCTCTACCAAATCTATGCAAATTCAATGTGATTAATTTGTAAAATAGGTTTGTTTTTAGAGTGAACTTTTCCTTGAAGATACCTCATTGGATAACGAGAGCACCCAGAGCTGTTTAAATCACGGGAAAGATAGAGCCTTCAGCACTGGCTTTGCTATTACTCCTAGGTTGGTTTGTATTGCAATTGGGTCATATCGGTCCACGTTTTGTTATAGCCCCAAATATTATGCAAATTTTTGACACCTCTTTCTCATTTTTCGTTGGTTCTCATTGTGTATGAAATCTTCCTACCGATTGGTCTACTTTGTAGGGTAGCCCCTAACCACGCATTTCAACAGATTAAGCTGTAATTCGATATTTTGGATTCACTTTGGTTGTCAGATCTGCTTACGAAAATTGATCAATATTAGCTTATGTTTCGGGGTAGCTCCCAATATACGGTATTTTCATGGGTTTGGGCACATGTTTCTATGTAATTGGTTGTAATTATACTCTACACAACTATGTTGTCAGGTTATTATAACTGTGTGCAGCTCCAAGAGTGTGTAACGCCGCCACCCACCCACCTTTAAGTATACCGATCGCCATACATGGACTAGCTGAGTCGATCTAGACATGTATGTCCGTCCGTCTGTCCATTATAAATTGTAAAGACGATACAAGGCACAGTTATGGACCTATCTTCACGAAATTTTGCATATAGGACCGGTTGTACCCAATAAAGACCCCTATTGTTTTTGGTAATAATCGGTTCATATTTAAAGGGTGAAATGGATCAAAGAGGTCGCAATTATGGCCCGAAAATTTAAAAGGTCACATTTATTCTTTGTTGTCAGGTTATTATAACTGTGTGTAGCTCCAAGAGTATGTAACGCCGCCACCCACCCACCTTTAAGTATACCGATCGCCATATATCGACTAGCTGAGTCGATCTAGACATGTGTGTCCGTCCGTCTGTCCATTATAAATTGTAAACACGATATAAGGCACAGTTATGGACCTATCTTCACGAAATTTTGCATGTAGGACCGGTTGTGCCCAATAAAGACCCCTATTGTTTTTGGTAATAATCGGTTCATATTTAAAGGGTGAAATGGACCAAAGAGGTCGTAATTATGGCCCAATGGGATCGGGCCAAAGAATAAACACGTATGTTTTGATAAAGTTGACTTTTGTGTGAAAAATGACAAAATTTGTGCTCTATGGCGTATATATTTATTCCTGAAGGACATACTCCCGAGACGTATATAGTATATCAAAGAGGGGTGGTTGACCTTTAAATTGGGGTGTGGGAATTACACCTTAATATTAACAAGTGTCTAATGATTCTGATATCATTTAGTAACACATTACCATATAAGTGGGCGGAAATATAGCGCGGATCGCTTTGAAATTTTCCATGAAGTTCCAGTCATAGTAAATAACATCGCCTATAATTTTCGGTGATAATCAGATAATAATTTTGGGATGTAATGGACCGAAATATAGGCCACTCTTATAAGCCGAACATCACCACACAACCAACGGTGAAGGGAATCTGGGCAAGTAATTAGAGGGGATGTACTGAATATTAGTAAAATTCGGAAAATATGTCCGTGTAAGTATGTGGTGCTGATGATCTCTAATCGGGCAAGAGAGTGCAAATATCACGAAATATTGTCCAGTCTCGGATTAAAAGTTCCGCAGAAAGTTAAAGTGCCGAGGTAGTCGCGTAGGGTATCGTATGGTCGGCCCAGTCCGACTATACTGCTCCGCTCATAAATTTGGATGAAATTAATATTTTGGATTCTCATTGAGTAGAAAATTTCTATGATAAACTTTGGACCAATTTTCCGGGTCCCATATTTTGGGGTGTTGTTTTTCAATCGAATTCGCTATAATTTGATTTATCAAATTCTTGTGTGGCTTCGAATCTTCCTACCAAGTGGCGCGGAACGTTTGAAAAGTTCCGTTTCTATTTCGGTTTTAATAAGTTTTTAACCGTATTTTCTAATGGGAGTGACTATAATTTGACATATCGGATCCCTGGTGAATAAAACATTATTTTGAAAAGTCGTTTTTAAGTTTTCCAAATAGAGTGTCGTCTATTTGGAACACTATAAAATAACACCATAGCCCTCATATAAATGTCCTGATGGAATTGAAGATTTTTAAATACACCCCACGTGGTGGAGAGAATAAAATGTTCAGCCTGGCCGAACTTAACGACTTTTTAATTTTTTCAGATACTAAGTGAGTAGAAATGCTCTTTACCAAAAAATTATAAATATTAACTTAAGTTTCCGTGTAGGTTTTGAACACATTTTCTAACTGAAATGGGAATAATTTGATATTTTAGGTTTTAATATGAAAGTCCCGGGTTAAGGTATTTCATGGTGGAGGGTATAAAAAGTTTGCCCTGACCGATTTTTATCATATATTTTTTATTATTTAAATAAACATATGAATATTTACTTAGAAATAATGAACTTACCAACAGAGCCCCAATCGGGATGTGCTAAATTATTGTACCATCCATCATATCTCTGTCTTTCAATTTGACTATAAATTTTTTCTGTAAAGAAATAAAACAACAAAATTATTTAATCTCTTAAAATTTAAATATAAATTAAAATTATTTAAAACTATTCATTATAGGTATGTTATGTTAAAAAAAAAATATATGCATTTATGCTTAATTGAAATCATGCGACATGTAATGAGTAAGGACCAAATTCGCACTAAGCAATCATAGAATTTAAATATTTATTGAACCTTTCCGAATTGAATTTAACTAAAATTGATTTCCGTGTATTATAACACATATATAGAACCCCACCAGGAACAGTGATATAAATATATAAAGTTATAACGTGCGACGTATACGTTGGTTCAGAAATTAATATTTTTCTTCATCGATTAATAATTTCTATTTGGAATTCGATAGGGAACATAGCGCAACTAAAAAATTAGGTCACAATATTAGAATGTGTAGGCGTAACATGATCTACTTAAATTTTTTTCCTTTTAGGAAAAAGTAATTTGTGTAAATTTCTGGAAAACGAAATATATATTAATCGGAAAGTACGCGGGTAAAAAGCTTATGTCCGTCTGTCACTTGAAATCACGTACAGATCCCAATATTTAAGATAGAGCTTTGAAATTTCCCTCACCCTTTGATACTACTCCTAGGATGTTTCGTAAAGCTGTTCCCCCATATTTGGTATTAGAGATTTTTTTCAATTCTGTAACTCTGAAGTTTTTCCTTCAGACTACCTTTATAACAAAGTCAACTACTGTGTTAGTTGGCTAAAAGTCACAACATTGTCACACAGTTTTCAAAGGAATATACCAACGAGAATGCATTAGAAAAACGCGTGCTTATGTGTGACACACATGTCCACAGAGGTTTGTTGATGTTGTTATGTTTGATTTACTAATTTTAAGAATTCCATGTAACGTTTGGTTTGGGTTTTTGTTATTTGTCGAACGAACTATTCGAATGTTTTTCTCCATATATTTAGTAAAGGGGGTGCATTTTGAGTTCATGTCATTAAATGAATTTTTAATTGTACTACGCATTTGGTGACGATTAAATTCATTAAAATTAATGACAACGAAAAGTAAATAATTCAAATGGCAAACTCACAAAAAAAACTGCGAACGATTGGGAATTTTATTTCACAACAAGGCGGTGTGAGCAAAATGTTACACCACTGTACCCCTTCCCCACAACCACAGTAAGAGGTTTGCTGGGTTGACATGGTCAATATTGATCATTGATCTACATTTTGGAGCAACTTAGTCAAAAGTTGCTGCATTAATGCTATTCGAACTTTCTGTTGGAAAATGTAAATTTTATTGAAGTGTTGTTGACGTTTTTTATTCTGTTGCGATTTTTTTGCAATTTTAGAATTTATTGCACTTGCTTGGGAGTTAGATTAACTCGTTTGTGTTTCTGTGGTCACCTTATCTGTTTCTTTGGTTTTGGTTTTGAAAAGCCTATTGACATATTAGAGACACTAGCAAAAGCGTGTAGTGCGTAGTGAGTGCTTGATGGTGTGACCAAAAAAATAATAACGTAATGAAATAAAAAATTGGGAGCAGACAAAGTCAACTGTCATGTAAATGCTCGCCACTGCATGATATCTGGTTATATTTGAATTTAGCCCAAGGATATTTGAAAATCGTGCATACATTGAGAATGCTATCAAATGTCGCAGTATTGCTGTCGGCTAATTTGTATATTAGCCATCTGTGTACCTTTTGTAATGTGATCAAATATCCGCCTACTAACATTAGCCCCTTCATGTGGGAACACCTTCTATTTTTCACAGTGCCAGCAGTATTAGAGGAGATATAATTGAATACAGTCCAATAAAATGCATTTTTTCTTTTTTATTCGAAAAAAAAAATTATGAGCATGGTTGATTTGAAAATATAAATTAGGTTCAGTAGATGCAGATGAATTCAAGGTCAAAGAACAAACCTTGAATTTTTTGCAAATTTTGGATCACCGTATAAGTTTGTGTGTGTTTTTATACCGTCATATTTTTTAAAAAAGACCAAACACCAATAAATGAACTTTGTACTGTTGAATGGGGTCTATTAAAGATTTTCTACCCATTAAAACCCATACATTATAACGTCTCAGGTGTTTTGGTTGAGAAACGTGCAGAAACTGCACAAAATACTAAAATTCGGGGACTACTCTATATACTAGTCCCCGGTAGGAATATTTGCTACACTCTAAGATCTCAGAATAACACATTGCATCTAATTCAGTTGAAAAATATGCCAAATATTTCCAAAATACCGAAAAATAGGGACCGATGCTATAATCCGTATAAAAGCGACGTTCTTCTTCATCTGTCTCATTTGCGCCCATGCTCCAACGGAAGACAAATATGAACAGACCAAAAACATATTTTACGAGCGCCTAGAAACGGCATATGACAGCTGCCCTGGCCAACTATAGAGAAATTAGTCCTTCTCATCGCATATAAAGTGCGATTGGACCATACCACTGTGCTAAATACTAGAAAAGACTCACAAAAACACATCGACACATTCCACCTATTCGTCGAATACAAAGCCGCATTCGGTGGCCCATTCCGCTCAGAGGTGTTTAAAGCCATGTCTATGCAGGATAACAAGCTCAGCTGTTAAAGTCGAAAATGACTTCAGAGGCATTCAATACCGAACGAGGACCTTTTTAACTACCTACTGGAAAAGGTGATACGAAATGGAAATGTGAATTGAAATTACACTCGGTACACCAACTGTAGAACTTGAGAAGTACAGGTTTGGGGTAGTCAAAGATTTTATATACCTTGGTACGGTCATAAACAAAACTAATAACATGAGCATTGAGATCCAACCAACAGATGATACAATGGTCTGAGAAAGCAATTCAAAAATAGGCGAGGTTCTTTGGTCTAGAATGGCATGTTTTATTGCCAAAAAAAAAAAAAAAAAAAAAAAACATTACAATTTTATTGAATATTTTTAAAACTTCATGCATAGTAATTTTCTCCTATTGTATACAAGTAAAAAATTGTATAATCAATAGAAAGCACTATTTTTTCAAAAATTTAAACATTTAATAAATATCACAACTGATTTTCATAATTCGTTCTACTTTAATTTGTCCTCTCTATTTATTTTTTGACAAAAAGAAATGTATTCCTCCACAATAACCACCATTCATTGTTCGACTGTGTGTTTTGTAATGGTATCGTTCTCCGCCTCTCCCCTTACATGGTGTTTGTTATTTTTGTCCCCGTTTATTTCACTACTGTTTCTGTTGCTAACAACCGTCGACTTTTCACTCACTCGATTGTGACCAGTTTTGCATTCCATTGTTTCTGTATTTCACACAGTTTTACCCTTACAAAATTCGCATATGTATTTTCAAAATTATTTTGATATAAATGCTAAATACAGATACCATCAAACACACATACTCCGAAGATATTTTCTCTCCCTCTCACTCTCTGACAAGAAACCAGTATTCAAAGTTTTATGAATTTCATTCATAAAATTCAGAAATCCCCTCATTGACATGTTTCACATTATTCCCTAGAAGTTCTTGTCCACTAAATTTGGAATTTTACTTTAATTTAGTACTTGAGGAAAAATGCCGATGACATAGCAATCCAACCTACCCAAAAAAACAAACAATGAATATTCTGTTATATTTTCCGTGTAATAGAATTTTTTTTATAGAAATGTTCAAAATTTGGTATTTTTACAAATGGTGAACATTTTAATTTTAAGGGTCTTCACACGCATACACCTTTCTATGTTGTGACTTCATATGTTGTATTCTCAGTTTCAATATGTTTTCTATCCAATCCCGTATATAAATTATAAATCGGTGACGTAAAAATATGGGATTTGGCCTGGGAAAGCTCACCACAGGCATTTGTTTTCTGATAAAATTGAAGAACTTTGCGCCAAATGCATCAAAAATCAATGACAATTACTACTGTTACTGCGTTCATTGACATTCAGTTGAATAATATATTCAACCCTGGGAATCTTGATACATTGGTGTGGTACTACTATGCTAAAAATAAGAATCCATTCACCATTCTCCACTGCCCTATTTGTTCTGCCATCAGTATTTCACACTGCTTTAGGACGGAGGCGTTTTGAATGTTTTAAGTACACCAGCAAGAATATTTCATTCACTTCAAAAATTTTACGGCCACCCAAGCTACTGCCCAATAAAATGTCTTAATTCGCCAACGTATAAAGTTTAGTGATCTGCAAAGAGAATCAATTGTTGTTTGCCTAAAATAAATATACAAAACTCTTAGCAACTATTGAAAAAATCCACACTAACATGGCCATAAGAATGACGTTTGTTTTGTCACAGCCGTTGGCTACAAGCGAGTGAATGTGGTCGTCGTCATCGTTGCTACCTATAATGACTTAAAGGCCGATGATGGTGTTATAGACAATGACAACAACTACATGAGGTATATCACGGAATTCCCAAAACTAGCATAGTCATCATTTCAAGTCCAGTCATTCTTCATTCCGACATGATGTTTGATTGAAAAAAAAGAAATAAAATAAAATACTCAACAGATGTTGGTATTTTTGTTCGTTTGGTATTGCTGTTTGCTTCATTCGGCACGTTGTTGTTGCGAAAAACTTCCATAACAAACGTCAACAATGTCCAAATAACCACCAGCTTATAATCCAATCCATATATTGTAGGATCGATAACATTGTAATATCTATAGTATTCATAAGTGATATTTTGAGAATATTTTCCAGAGAAATGAAAAACATAGTTTATTGACACAGGATTCGCAGTTATATATCCATATATTTAAAACCAACAATTATGCAGAAATTCACAAAATAATAAATTTAAATCAAGTAAAATTTCTTCATATACACTGAATTTAGCCTTTATACTGGATTAAGTATGCTTAAATTTGCCGATTAATCGTTATGGTGTATTTATAACATTTTTAAAAATAACTAACATTGTCATTCAATTTCACAATAATTGAAATGATTTTATCATTGATTATTGTTATTAAATGCTGTTGCTAT